CTGAGAAACTAAAGGATTGCGACCTGGACGGGAACTGATATTGCAGGTGGAGTGAGGGGTACTTAAGTTTTGAAAATCGGAGGAGGATTTAACTAATGACAAGGAGCTGAAGGAGCAAAAGTGGACGAAGGTGAAAAATTAAAACAAGTGCCTAACAGCACATCAGCACAGCGGGGCCGAACGGAACTTACTAGAAGATGTGATCTTCGTGTACGGGTATAGTTGAATAGTAGGAGTTTGATTAGCGCTGTTATGATATTCTCAGTGGCATTTCCTCAACCAAAATCTAACTGTGCACCAACTCTCAAAACATAAACAATTATCAAAATATTGCTTGCAATGAATAGATATCGAGTAAACTAGTAGATTGAGTGTATTTTTCAACCAATTCAAATATGAATATGGCATTAAATCTGGTTATGAAAGTTGGTGCACAGATAAAAAGTGAGGTTACGGGACACCACTGGACATTCTATATTTTTGTCTCTTTATTTCGATAGCCATCAACAACAACAACAGTAAGATTATCATTAAACAGATAACTCAATATGATTTGAGACCTTTTTGCCTTCCGTGTGTTGTTTATTAGCCTCTGAAGAAAAAATCCAACCATGGATTCCCCAACAACGCACATTCTAATGCCTGTCCGAACCAGTAATTCATTCCTAAGCAGACTAAAACCGGGAAGAGCTAGCTTTTAGCAGCGGAACACTTTCGTCGCAATCTCCCGTGTCCATTGGTGTAAGCAACGCAACCCCATCTCATCATGATCATTCATGACATTGAGCTCCTCCAACTGTGCATCCGCGTTGTCCCGGTTTGCTATCCATCGTTGATTACCGCAGCCGATTTTCATCCCAGAAGAGTTCTAGCGATTTCAATAGCAGCAGCTTGCCCCGGCGGTTGCAGATTTTAAAATGCGATTTGATGCGTTTAGCTGTTGTCTTTACAGAGTTCGTTCCCAACCATCTTCTGCCGTGGTCGGAGGAAGTCGATCGCCTTCTGAAGGGTCGTTCAAGTTTGTCCGGTAACAGCTTGTCCAGTTGGGGTGGCTTTAGGCTCTGAACCATTTCTAGATAGAGCTGGAATTACGGAATAACAGCTTTTGTAAACAATGACTTCTCTCGATGATTTCTCGAAAGTAATAGCTGTTCCTGACAAATCGACATAACCAGAGAGTGGATGGATATTGTAGCCGTCACTGGTTGATCTCGAATAAGTATGCGGCTTAAGCGCCACTCCGGTAAAGGAGACCGCATACCATGTTGAGTTTGCCCGGATGAGACTGCCTCAAGGGCGAGTCCAAGTGTAATCTTCCTAAAAAGAAGAGATCGAGCCAGCTTCACTACCACCGAAATTGATCGGTTAGAAAACCTTATTGCTAAAACAGCATAATCTCTCACACCCCGAAATATTTCCCCGAAGCTCACGGTAAGAGATCACACAAACCTAAACGACGTTACCCGTCAAGCTTTCCTCATCGGTAGTTCCACTTATTTCCGCCAGAGGTGCAGCTTCAACAAAAGAGGTACGCCACATACAAGTCCAATTCCGACCACGCGGAAGACAACATAATTACCCGGACCCGAAACAACGTGAAGACACTTTCTTCCTTTCATTCAAAAGTTTTAATAGGACTGATCAACAACATTACATTCAATTCAAATCAAAAATTCATTTTATAACGGAAAACGGTAAGTTGAGGTTTATTGTAAACTCATGCTTTTCAGAACTTTGGATTGCTTGTATTTTCCTACTCCTCTTTATTCTATTCCTCTACCTATACTTGTGTGCGTGCGGTTCTTCTATCTACACGCTAACTTTAAAGTACCCATTAATGAGTAAAAAAAGACCCATTTTGAAGAAAAGTGGCTTAACTCATTAAATGAGTAAAACCAACTTTACTCATTAATGAGTATTCAATGGATACGTCACAAAATGGGTATTTTTACCCGTTATAATTTTTCTGAGCATGCGTAAAAAGTACCCATTTTATTGATTTGTTTTTGCTTCATGAGGCTACCAGTCATAAAATAAAGAACCTCTTGAAATCTTTGCAAGTATAAACCGAAATCATTAAAACAAGTCATATTTTTGTTATTGCCACATAATTATTGGAAAAAATAGCCATTTAAACATAATATTATCACCATCATCAACCGGTACGATGCAATCGAGGCTTTCCTCGAAGGGTGTTTTCGTCATGCAGCACAGTTCACTGCTGGAATCGATCCTTGAGGGATGTCGCTCATCGAATGGGTCCGGATGTTTACAAATATTAACTTTGTTTCTCCCTTCACTGGAAACGGGTTATATTTTTGTTATGCCAACTTAATCCTCATCATAATGACACTTTTGATTCTTACCTCGTAAAATTGGTACAGGACCATACCCGGGAAAACTGTACTGTTGTTCTTCTTTAATTTTGTATTCCGTCACAATCAACATCAGCCGGATGGAATCTATTAGTTCAATAACTCGCGTAATATTGTGAATGGAAATAATTTTGACCGATTTACAAAACACTTCACACGCGGAATCTACGGAAGCTCGATTCGCTCGTTTGCTAAAAATGATCGGACATTTTGCATTTTCACTATCATGACATCACATCCATCGAGTCACTAATTATTTTTACCCATTTTTATTGCATGTAGATACTTTCCAAAATGAATAAAAAGTACTCGCTTTCCATTTTTTGATAATACCCATGTTTTGACACTTCAGAATAAATTCAAAAAATGAGTACAAGGTACTCATTTACTGGGTACTTTCAAGTTAGCGTGTACCTATCATATTGTGCTGTGCTCTTGTGTTTTTCTTCTCGGTTAATCTCGACGACGACGATGCAGCAAGCGGGGAACGGCAAAGCTTGGCACCCGGGTGTCTCACATTAAAGGGTTGGGTGGGCATCCATATATTACGAAACGTGTGCACGTTGTCCTGCCGACACCCAACCTCACAAATATTGGACTTATCCAAATCTTAGCAATTCATGCTCTTCGACCTGATGGTCGGCAAAAAAGGTCCTCCGTGGCGCCCTCGCCGGACGCCACACTCAACAAAGAAACAATTGGAACGGACTCACCAGTTGATGATGCTGCTGTTGACTGCTGCGCTGCTGTTACGGGCGGCGACGGTGCTACTTAGCGTTCGACCGTTGGTGATTGAACGGCCAACGATTTCCACGTGGTTGGACGGATGGTAATTCTACCACAGGCGGCGCTTGACAACCACCAAGCCCCGACAAGCGATGTGGATGCGGATCGCTTTCCACCGGCCAAGGTGACGGTTGCCGGAATCTTTCGCCCCGGGGATGCAGATGATGGCGTTGGAAGAGGATATAGCCGTCGGCTGTTGAAAATACCATTAAGCACATTGCACAGATTTTCTTTACCGAGCAGCACATTACCTGGTCTAGCTTGTTTTTTGCACACACAAAGTCTAGCCTATGACGCACACTACTTTTAGATTGATAGCTATAACTAAACAATCAACGAGGAGAAATTAGAATTCAAGAATAAAGTAAAACCACGTTGCTTTAACTCACTATACAAAACTATCAAATAACGCGAACAAAAAAGGACACACTTCCACTGTTATCTGCGGTTCGGACGAAAGTGAGGCGAAACCGTGACCCTCAGATTAGGGAAGGTGACCTCGGCCGAACTTAACGGAAGTTCGATTTTCCCGGGAACTTCTTCGAACTAGATCGGCAATGCGAGAGATTATTCCGATCGCTGGTCCTTCGTTCAATGTCGGGTGTAGCCACAACTCTCTCTTTTCCCAACTTTCCCGAAAATTTCACTGGACTCGGCCTTGGGAGAAATTGCACAAGGTCGTGTGGCTTTACTCATGAGATATTCTATTTTTATAGTAAATCGACCAGTGTCGTTTCGCTACTGGCGTAGTTTTTGGCGTATAGATTAGATCCATTTCATCCTACTTTAATTATAGCTAATTTGATATTTACAACAATGAGTGACTGGCTGTTTTCATATTTGTAACATGGAGTGACTGACTGATTTAATATTTACAACATGGAGTGACCGTTACAATATGTTGGTTTGTGTAGGCCTTCCTTTGAATTCTTAGAAAATATCGAGCGAAGTCATTGTTTACAAAGGCTGTTACGCCCTAATTCCAGCTCTATATAGAAATGGTTCACAGCCTAGAGCGTTTTTTTAAACTTTTGGTTAAAATTTGACAGATGGAAAGTTATCGATTAACCCTACTATCCGAGCATGGTTATTTCTGACAAACAAGAAGTTAAATTTTGACAACAGTGGCACGAAAATCGGTCGATCGACAGCATGGGGATTTTCGAACATTAGAAAATAACTTTCGAAATGTCAATTTTAACCACGAGTTAAATTTAACTCAGCAAATGGTTCACAGCCTTAGAATACCGCCTTGGTTTGGATTTTACTGCTTGGTTGTGTTTTTCCTTTACCTTCAAAACAAAACATTTGAACTGTGAGACAAACTTAGGCTGTGTTCTATTTGGAAATTTTTCACTTAAATTTGACACTTCGAAAATAAATTAAGATGTTCGAAAATCCCTCTGTTGTTGATCGGCCGATTTTCGAGAAAGCGTTTGTCAAAGTTGATTCCTTGTCTGTCAGAAATAAGTCTGCTGGGATAGCAGGTTTATTTGAAAATTTTCCATCTGTCAAATTTAAGTGAAAATTCACCAAATGGAACACAGCCTTACTCATCGCTGAGTTCCTGCACTTTTGGCGATTATGAGTGAACTAAACTTAAATTTGGGTTGTTCTCATTGGCCGTGCAGTTTGTCAAGCATGCCATTATCTTCTTTTTTTTCACGGGCTTGTTAATTGCAACGGACGTTTTCTTGAAGAGTGTGAAAGGAATTTTTCCAAATTGAAACCCTGAAACAAATCCTACACGTTAATTATCAAGCTAAGTGATACTATATTAATTTACAAGTGGAATGAACAAAAATGTGACAGTGGACCGTACAAGGTTATTGTGGAAGGATGCAAGAAGAAACCGAGAACAACGTACGATTGAGCGGAATCAACAAAGTCACAGTGGGGATGATGTTGAAACAAAACGGATTTGCGAAAGCAGTGATGGACATCAAGAATATCGGAATAGCAAAAGTGATGGTGCTCTTCAGTGAATGGAAGGAAGCAAACATGCTAGTAAACAGTCAAAACCTGATCCTTAAGCGATTCAGAGCCTTCATTCCGAAGAGTTTTGTGACCGCCAAAGAAGTAATAGCAGGAATCCCAGAGAAGTTACAATCCGAGGAACTAATCGAAGACATCGAAACAAACAAGGAAATTTTGGAAGTATTCCGCCTACAGGGGACAGTAGCAGCAGGCAAAAGAGTACCGATCGAGAAACTAGGAGTAGTATTCCGAAGCAATAAGCTTCCAGAATACGAGTCTACTCAGTCACAACGAAGGTAGAACCGTACATCACAAAGGCAGTCATGTGTAACTCGTGCCTACGTTACGGGTATATCGCCAACAACTGCAAGAGCCGAAAGCGCTGCGGAAATTGCGGAGAAACACACGATGGACGTGTTCAGGATTCAGAGTGCCCGAACCAACGAAAATGTGTACACTGCTAGGACAAACACAGATCATCGGACATCAAGTGTCCAGAACGTAGCAAACAAAATGACATCAAAAAATGATGGCAAGGAAGTATCTCACCTATCAAGAAGCTCGGAATGAGTTTCCTTCAGTCTACGAAAGCTTCTCCAACATAGGTACTGAAGAAATCCAACAACCGGGAAGGGAAGAAAGTGCACCTAAGCATCAGCCAACAGCAAGAACGAACAACCGTAGCGGCCCGGTGGTCACAACAAATAGGAATTTAGGAGCAGTCACGAAGCAGACTCTACCCAAGGATAAAGGGCCAGAAGCTAGCAGCAGGATAGAAAGGGAAGTTGACGAAGACGGATTCGAAAAAGTCCGATACGGAAGCAAAAAAAAAAGGAGGACAGTGAACGATAACACGACAGGACAAGAAGATAGCCTGGCAGGAACCCAGGTAATGACGATGGAAAAACGTCTCGAGCTCCGAAAACAATGGGAAGATAAAATGAAGGAAATCGCAAAAAGAGAACTTGCAATCTATGGTTGGAAAAACTTTCAACAAACTCTCGAAAGCCGTTAAGGCAAAAGACGAAAACGGTTACTATATTGTTCTAGAAGTAGTCAAGCAGCTAGCAGTTTCTCTAGGTTATGACGTAGGGTTAACTACCCCATTTCCGGCCTATTAAGCACAACCCGCACTTAGTCTTTCTTAATCTAGCACAGTTTAGAACCAAACGGAATGTTATTAATACTGATGGCTTCCAAATGTATTTACCTCTCCGTACGTACCGTAACATTTGATAAAGAGAAACCAATCGTTGAGATATTGTCAAAAATCTAACACTGCTTCTTAACGCCAAACTCGGCCTACGGATTCCAAACTCGGCCTAACCCATTGAAACGCCTTTGAAGCGCAATTGAATTAACTTCGGCCTATCGGATGAAGATAAAAATTGATTCGGTCGGAGCGCTTCTTTTGTTTTTGGGAATAATGGGTGCAAACCTTCATATCACGCGTTCTCATTGACTTCGTTCGGTAGCTTATTATCTAAAGTATCGTACCAAACGCATAATTGACTTGTTAACTCTGAAATCATGGATTTATTTAAAGTTTTCTGCTCGATAGGCCCAAAATGGGTGATTAGGCCGAAGTAGTTCTCTACCCTATAAGACGGAATTCCGAATACTGATATCGAAAATGGCGACATTCAAGATATTACAGAGTAACATTCAAAGTCTCACGAAAAATAAAAAGGAACTAGCGCATGAATTACATGCAAGAAATCTCGATGCAGCATTATTATCAGAAATATGGACGAGTGAAAATAGGATAGCATCATCAGACATAACGGGCTATCATAAAATTCTACAGCCACGTCTGAGTCTAGTCTCAGTTTACATAAATCCTAGGAAAACAATAACGGAATTGAATACAGGTTTTGAGAAGTTATTAGGAGAAACACAAACGCTCAAAAACTTACTGATTGGAGAAGATTTCAACGCCCACAACAAGGCCTGGGGCTGTGAATCTACCAATAGTAAGGGTAAACTAATCCTAGAAACTATTACTACAACAAACTACTGATCCTGAATAATGAAGAGAAGGCGTACCGTCCCGCTGCACTGAATAACACCCCCAGTGCAATCGACTTGACTCTATGCACACCAGATCTGTTAAATGAACGAATCTGGAGTGTAAAGCACTATACATTTAACGACTCAGGCCATCGTATAATAGATATCGAGCTGACAAAAACACAAAGAGCTATTTTCAATCGGAAGAAGGTCAATGAGGAAATTGCGCTTATAGATGCAGATCAACTGGAGTCAATTAAAGACCTGCAACGCCTAGTTACCGACACGATGAGCAGAAGCAGCGGGGTGAGCGACTTCGTCCCAAAATATTATTGGAGCGAAGAACTTTCCCTGTTGTACAAACAAGACTGCTGTAGAACCTTTAACAGGTTATCAAACGAAGCAAATTTACTTAAGCTGCAAAGGATATCGATCCACGAGATACCAAGTCTAATTGGAGCATGGTAAGGAGGCTACGATACCATCACGAAAACAAAACCAAGAACAACATAGTACTCACGGTCAGTGTTCACTCGGCTGTCGACAAAAGCAGGCCACTCTCGATGTGTGCCACGCGATCGTCTATTTTCTCGGCAGCAACCATTGTGTGGTCCTCCTCATTGTTCTTCATCAGCAGTTCTTTCGGTCGATGCGTCGTCGACTTTGGAAAGCAACCGTTTCGTGATGAGTGTGTGAGTGTTGACCACGTTTTGCACCCATTGCTGCAATGGAAGCGCTTTGCCCCACGATGGCGTAACTGCCATACAACGAAACCACTGGAAGCGGCTCCAGTTCTGATGGAGGAGGCTTTTTGGATAGCTTTTGACTATTGTTTTAAGATGTATTGTATAGTAACCAAGAATCCTCGGCTCTGTAAAGTTAATTTGGTTGAGCCTTATCAAATAAATTAATGAACAAAAAAAAAATAGTACTCACGGCTAGAGAAAAAGCTGAAACATTCCTAGAAGGACACTTCGGGCTCACACAACCAACAATGTCTCACCCCAATTCTCCAAGTACGACTCCTGCAAAAGAGTTACTCAACCTAGAGCAATGAAATCATATCATCCATAAAAAGGAAGGCCCGATCGGCACCAGGAACAGATCGTCTAACTTACGAGATTCTGAGGAATCTAAACACACATACAAAGCAAAAAATTGTTCAAGAAATAAATACGTACTACGCCGCTGAAAACCTGCCGGAAAGCTTCAAGGAGGTCAAAATAGTACCTATTGCAACCGAACTATCGACATACAGGCCGATTTCATGCCTGTCGACGATCGTCAAATCACCTAACACTGCAGTACTACATCTAATACAACAACATGAGACCGGATCTATCGTTCGGGTTCAGACCAGGAAAATCAACGGAGGACTGTCTTGAGTTCGTAACAAATCATCTAATGGCAGCAAAAAGATGCAATTTGATCAGTGCAGCAGTATTCTTTGACTTTTGCAGAGGATATCATAGTATGGATCGAGCATTTTTCGAAAAACCGAAAGCTGGTTATGCAAACGGAACAAGGGTTGGTATCGACCACAATCTCAAGAGGATTGCCTCAGGGGGATGTGTTGTCTCCCACCCTCTTTAACCTATATACCAAAGAGCTGCACGAAACCGATCACGACGAGGAAAATGTGGTGTCACTGCAATACGCGGACGATTTTGTGTAGATAATTAGCGATAAATGTCTCAATGAAGTCAAAGTGAAATCACAACGAGTGATAGACAACTTCGTGGACCACAGCGATAGCCTACGCCTCGAAATCAACGGCAATAAAACGAAAGTAATAGTATTCCAACCAAAAGAGACGAAACTAGGTCTGAAGATCAAGGATAAGTCTATATAGTGCGTTAGATATTACAAATATCTGGGAACCTGTATAGACAGCCACTTGAACTACGGCACGCATGTACGAGACTTGAAACACAAGATCAAAGATCGACAAAATATGCTGAAGATCATCGGCAGCATAAAGCAGGGAGCGACACCAAAAGTACTGATACTGTTCCATAAAGCACTATACGATAGCTTCCTCCGGTACGGAAGCTCGGTCTACGGTAGCACATCTAAAACCTACCGGAACGACTTAGACCTAACACATCGACAATGTCAACGCATAGCTACGGGATGTTCTAAGACCACACCGATCAACACCTTGGCTGCCCTAGCAAATGATTAGCCACTAGAACTGCAGCGGTACTATTGGACAAAGAAGAGAATATCATCCCACTTCCGTAAACAACTAATTTCACTAGAAAACAACGATACAGCTGGAAACAAGAGATTCACATTCATCGAGAAAGTCTACATGGAAAACGCGAATGAAGTTAGCAGAATCTACGAGCAAGTCCCGGCAGAGACTGCATATGATGTCACGATTCGGCACCAAATTGAAAGAATGCCGATCAATAAAACTAAAATGGCTCCATCTACTATGCGACAAATCACCCTGAAATACATGAATAAAGGGTACTCTCTATGGCGAAGCGTATATAGGGACGCGTCGAGAACAGCTGACGCTTACGGAATAGGAGTTTACGAACGCGAGACCGGAATGAACATAAGTCTTAAGTTAGAACAACACTCCAGCATCATGACGGCGAAACTCGTTGCCATACGGATCGGCCTAGAAGGAAATTCAAAATTAGACAGGGAGAACTCTGTGATACTCACCGACTCGCAATCAGCCTGTCTGCTATTGGAAAAACATCAGGAATGAAAAACTTGGGACAGTCTAACAGGAGCAATCTGCAAGGAACTGCAATCAACGGGCACTATACTACAATGGATCCCTGGCCATGTGGGCCTGGAGGGCAATGAAGCAGCAGATACTTTGGCCAAAGCAGGACTAAACAACGATGCGGTTATCGTCAACAAGCTCCTCTGGAACGATGTGGTACTTCGCTATAAGAAGCAGCTAGCAGAAGCGACAAATGATTGGTATACCAACATCGTATTCACACAGAATAAAGGGAAGAAATTTCACGATTTGTTTAACTGTTTTCCTGGAAGACCGTGGTTCTGGAACTCGGAATTCAACGGTGAATAGGTGCGAACACTCAACAGGATTCTGGCAGGTCACTATTTTTCGAACTACTGGCTGGCCAAAATGCGACTGGTAGAATCAGAAGAATGTGATATTTGTGATGAAATCGACACAACGGAACATTTGCTATTAAACTGTATAAAGTACACCCACATTCGAAACTATTTTGATTGCGAGGATCACAGACGTATACAAAACCTAGCACGTGACAAAGAAGGAGTAAATGACGTAGAGTTGAAAAACATAATTAAATTCATCCGAATGGCAAGAATAAATCCGTAACGGCTAGGTAACGACTAACCGTCACAGCTCCTCGGGCCAATAAATCGAAACTCCAAAAACAACAACAGCATGCCATAATTCACTAGCAAGCAAAGACTGGCACTCTCGGCACTGCCGGCAAACTGAGCAAAAGGTAGGCCCCAAATAAGTGTAAAGAGTGATCACCCCTTGCATTTTCTACAACTTAACCAATCAAAAAACAAATATCAAAAATCCTTTAACAACAACTTTTGTATAGTCGGAGATGCTTAATACCAAATATCAGACTTAAAGTGTTCACTGTACGATAGATGAGGAGATGAAAGTATAGAGTTGATAGTTCCGTTAGAGTACGGTAGTGTGAGTAGAAAGCGAGCAAATGTCAATTTTGAGGAATCGGACTAATCATCTCCTTTACCAAACTCTCCTGCTGGGGAGAGATTGTGAGGGATGGTGCGGAGTATCTCCCCCGCCACCACTAGCAAAAGAGATTTGTTCACGATTGTTTCACACTCAAGTCATCATGTGACGTAAACATCTAGTCGATAGGTTTGGAAATTGCAGCTGTTGTTGCCTTTACCGCTGTATGTGCTCCTGTTATCGTCAACTTAACGATCTATGAGTATAGAACTATCTGTTTATAGATCAGTGCACGAAGATTTGCTGCACTCTTCTCTCACTCGTAAATTTTGACAGTTTTGGGTGGTTTGTTTTGGCTCCCATTCGTTGCCATCTCTTTTACTCAGAGACAAAATGATTGGAACCAAAAAGTGAGGTTAGGGACCGTGCACTGCTCTATGCCAATGGTTTTCGTTATTGCTCGTCCAGAGATTTATTTCCGTTTTACGGATTAGTGTCAAGAAGAAGAAGAAGAAGAAGAAGAAGTTCCACAACAGTTGTCAAATAAACAAGGCTATAAAGAATCGCCAGCAAGATTGTCAATGCACACTATGTTTTATTCAGTATTCAGCTCATTTTCATACTGGTGGCAGGAATGGCTGTAGAACCACCGACAAACCGACAAACTTAAACTTCATTTTCGCTCGAAAATATACAACGGCCGAATGAAATGTGCAGCGATACCATCTGTCAAAATCAAGGAAATTTTGTATCTAGATATAAATAGTTTATCCAGAATAGACTAGACACGAACGAGTTGGTTTGCACGCGTGTTCGTGGAATAGATAAACGTTTTCGACGAATACGGAGACAGATGTCAGTAGTGTGCTTTGTGCAGAAATGTCATGATAATTTATTTGGTCATTCATGTCAGTTTGTCGGTGGTAGAACTTTGACAGCTGCGCTAGAACTCTACGATAGCCGCCGGAAGGAAATTATACTTAAGATTCGCAAAATAACGAGAGACTTGTTTCAAGACACCAAGCTTCGTAAACGGTTCGTTTCAGAGTTGATAGTCTAGCCGACTAAATTGACTTCCTGGCCCACTGTGCGATGGTGTGGAACGTTTAATGCAGATGTCAAATTCAGATTCCATGAAACGCTGATTTGGCTGGCTTTGATCTCATGTCGGGAACGGCCCCCGGGATTCGCAATACGACTGTTGATTTTACTTTGTAATTATCGTTAATTGAGGCTCAAAACACCGTCACTTAATTTGTATGCTTCTTGTATTTTAAATAATCTTAAACCTTATCATTAGCCTACACCTGCCTACACTAGTCATCTGAAAATTTAAAGCATGTATTCGTCCTGATTTTACAACACTTTCACTGCATTTACTTGCTTGTGTTCGTGGTTGAGTTTCACAATTTCACGCAATCGAATGCTACTTTTCAAATCCCTAAGGCTGTGTTCCATTTCTCTATTACTTTTTCGAAGGGGTAAGAATTGTTTGCAAAAGCTGATACGTCGCTTCGTAAAAGTAATCGAGATTTGGTGAAATGTCACTTAAATTTGACTTGTGATTTTTTTTCAAATAACCCTGCTATTCCACAAGACTTATTTCCAGACAGACACGGAATGAATTTTGACAAACACCTTCTCAAAAATCGGCCGATCAACAACAGAGGGATTTTCGATCATTTTTTTAAATTTATTTTCGAAGTGTCAAATTTAAGTGAAAATTCACCAAATGGAACACAGCCAAATTGAACACCAAGAAAACCACTTCAAAACGACTTTTTTGCTTACATTGGTAAAAGTATCATTGAACGAGTGTTGCCAGATGTTTTGCATTGAATTTAAGTCTATTAACACTCCGAGCACGATGCCTCCGATAAAATGCGTAACGGAAAACTTGAAATGTTGGAAATATCATAGCTCAGCCATTAATTGACGAATTTCATATCTATTGGCGCTACACAGCAAAAAAATAATTTTGATATCACGTCAAAGTGGATGCACTACAATCATGTCGAAAATATGGTGTAATATTACTTGCTAAAAAGGACAAAATTATCATTAATACAATGCATGAACTGACTTTACGCTGCTTTTGCTGCATTTGTTTATTTATGTGGTCATAAAAATTACATGAAATTTTCGACATGATTGTAGTGCATCCACTTTGATGTGATATCAAAATTATTTTTTTGCTGTGTATTTGAAACGTCATACCATAGAGGTAACTCTAAGACCAGAAGGTCCCGAAGAAACGTGCTCAACTTTTTGGCATAGCAAATCAAAACAAACATAGTGTAGTACTAGAATTTCGACTTGAATGGGGTACGTTAATCGATTTGCTTGGGACCAATAGCCAAGTCAAGTAGTGAGCCAATTTTAAATCGTTAGTTTCCAACCGGTTGGTAATACCCTACCTTTACTGACTAAGGCTATCTGATGCCCCTAATATGGCAGGCATAAATAGTAACTGTATCTAAAAATAGCTCCTGGTCCTGAATGCACCTCATCTATACAGCGTATTTTCGCATTAAGTGCGGATGAAATACGCACAGTTGTCGTTTCGTAATAGCACTTTACTGTGCAGAAAACCGATTCAGCACCATCATCATCATTAGAGCTATTCAACAGCAGAGCGCTCGATCAAAGTGAGTGCAATGCATCCTTCGCTTTCCCATATGATGATGATGATGATGATGACGACGACGACGACGACGATGGTGATGCGATGCGTGTGCTCCTCCCTCGCAATCCCGGCGAAAAAGCATTAACAGTAAGCATAATCCACTATACCATTTTCAGAGGGGGGTTTGGGGTGCTCATCTACTCTGTGCTGTGCAATACACTCTGCAACCAATCGATAAAGCTAACCATTTTATGTAAATCTATTTTTACGACATTGCAGATGGACGGTTGCAATCCAATAGCAAGTAGCGAGGAGGACGAGGAGGAGGACGAGGAGGAGGACGAGGAGGAGGACGAGGAGGAGGACGAGGAGGAGGACGAGGAGGAGGACGAGGAGGAGGACGAGGAGGAGGACGAGGAGGAGGACGAGGAGGAGAAGGAATAACCTCATCTTTCTCTCTTTCAGTGTGATTAGTGAGCTGGCGCCGGCACTCACACCGCACTTTCCAATCATCAAAGTAGGTTTAGGAAGAGCCGGGAATAGTCTGGTCACTGACAAACAGATATAACATTAACATGTTGTTCATCGACACGTATTGAACGACTTATTTAAAAAATTTTAGTTTATAATACTGCCACTTGTGGCACGCATATCCAAATGCCTTACGTTTGAATGCCTAGATTAAAACACGCGCCTCTCGTTTGTTGAAAGGAATCGATCGATGGTCGTTAAAATGAGTGGACGGTAGTTCCACCTCGACTTGTGCCCAGTGGTTGCGCCAACACACACTATCACCATCTGTTGAGCGTACTGCCCGTGACAGTGTACTCAACAGATGGCGGTAGCAGTGTTGTAAGCGGTCACCGTAGTCGACACTTGCAACACAAGCTATCAATGTACAGTACCAAACTAAAATGTCATATGACAGTCTTTGTCATACAACACCAAACTAAAATGTCATACGACAGTCTTTGTCATACGACACTGTCAGCGAAGACTGTCACGTATTTATGTATTTTAGATTATCGCATAATAAGAGCCGCTAAGGTTGTGCTTGTATGAATTCTGACAATAACAAGCAACGATGTACTAGTAATAGCATTTCTGATCAGAAATGGTTCAATTTACATAAAATTGTGGTATTGGAAAGAAATCACACATTGTCATATGATAGTTATTTGATAATTCTATTTTTGCTCGAATGATCTTCTACCGTTTGAGTTGTGTGAGAGAGACGACGGTAGAGCATGAGTGTACCAATACAACCAGACTTCGACGCACGAAACGAAGCGAGTATAGAAGAAAACGTCAATCGTTTCAACCTCTGGGCGGTAGTTTTATTATTGACGATGTCTGTTTGTCTGTGGTCTGGTCGTAGCCGGAAGGATGTTTTGCAAAACGATTTAGTTTTAGATAATATTTTCTCTGGGTTGGTAGTCCAATAATCACAAATTAAAAAAACCGAAGGGGACGACTCTATCTACGATGCAGGAAAGATTGTGTTTTGCTGTGGCTAGCTGCGCGCACACTGAGTAGATAGAAAGAAGATTGACGACGATTTTGAAGATTTCCTGTAAAAAGATGATGCGCGGTGCAAGTAGATGCGACAAATGAAAGAAGATTTTTCGAAGATTGATTCGCTAGTGGGAGATTTGTTGAGCATCTAGATTTGAGATTTAGATGTGTCGCCCCCTCGCAAAAAACAGCGTTCCTCTACTACAATTATTTTGAAAGCGGCGTAGACAAAATGATTGAAATAGGCAAAATGTGGTCAAAATTCAAATGACAACAACTTTTCGAAGAATGGTCCAAATTTAATGTTTCCAATTTCATTCGCCAGGAAATTTATCGACGTTTGATAGCTTGAAAGTGGCCAGTGTCATCACTTGGTATTTTTTGGGTGTAATTTTTCCTCATCTTCATATTTTTACCTGATACTAGAAGGAATTTTGAATTCACTGGTAGCAAAAGATCCAACATCGGTTAAGAAACAACCGATATCTGGCCATTTCCGCGAAATCAGTTCCGGTAATGCGAACAGTAAGTTAATCTCTTGAATAACGTCAACACAGGTATCAATCCTCATGATTTTGCAGCTCGATATCTCCAGTATTATAAGTATAAGTATTTTCAGAATCACGAGTTGCGATGGTCATCTTGGAGCAGGTTCTTGGTCCTCCGGGGAAGTGGCCAATTGGGGCCATGACCGGAACCATATAAATATGGATGTCAAACTTCATGATGTTGCTTGCCTATGGCAATGGAAGTTCGATCAGGTTCACAGCTTGATCCGAGGCTTGCTCCGGTTCCCCAGGGAATCAACTCCGGAGAACAGATTCTAGGTGCCCCGAGGGATGTGGTCAGTTGGGGCCATGACCGGAACCATATCAATATGGATGTCAAACTTCATGATGTTGCTTGCCTATGGCAATGGAAGTTCGATCATAACCATGACTTGCCCTAGTTATCTTGGAGCAGGTTCTGAGTGACCCGCGGGATGTGGTGAATTGGGGCAAGCAAAAGTATGGACGACCACAAAACTGAAAATAAGTTGTTCCAATCGAGCAAAGCAGTGCTTTTGATGGTTAGATTGGATCACCTTTTGACAGACGTTCATACATTTAAAGTCTGTACTCGAATAAAATGCAACAGACCAAAAATTTATCAATTCAAGTCGGAATTTTTGTAACTCTCAGGGAATAAATAAACACATATTAGCTATGATTTTGCAAAGTTGGTTTATTCAACCTCCTCTCCTACACACTTAATCTAGCTCGGTAAAATCTCCAACAGCCGATTACCTCGGCATTTACTTTTGCTGATATATCTGCAAAACATCTGTTTGTTAGCTGATATCTCAGCATAATGATATTTGTTAGCTGATTCTCGGCAATTGTTTTACTGAATATCAGCAAAATAAATTACAGAACTACTCGGCTGTTGGAATCTCGGCGCAAAATTTTAAGTGTGTAGGCTAAATGCCCACACCATGGACTTAACGCTAACCATCAAATCCTGTGCAACACTTGCACCATCTTTCTTACACACTTTCACCGACTCTTTTTTCAAATCCTTGTCGTTTTTTAAGACCTTCCCTGTTTTCCGGAGCTTGCCCTTCAAAATCGCCCTTCGGCACAAAAACAACATCGTTGGCTTCGTACCACTCCACATCACCGGTTTCGCGTAATGGCACGATGCCAGATCCAGCCAAAACAGAGTGTCACCTTCATGGAACCGGAGGAACGACAGCAGGCACTTCTGGAGGCATTCTTATTTATATATTTGGCCGTTGATGGTGCCGGTTGGTTTTGTACGGCTTGCTGAATTTGCCGCACCCACAGATCGCCTGCCACACTAAGTACTTCTTGGCAAAGTTGTTGACCTTCTTCTTGCGGAACTTCACCGGAACATCCAGGCGGGACTCGCTGACGAAAAATTTCAGGCCGGGGATCCGCTTGACGTCCACTTTAATGTACGTCCCGTCGTCCATTACGATGCATTTCGGCTGCACCAACCACTCGCGGGGTACAGCTTCCAGGCGCGGGATTTGGCCACCGTATTCTGTTCATCGGTTCCGTTAGCCGCCTTCCTTACCTCGAAGACATTAAATCCGGCCTGCTTAATTGTCTGCTGGACGAACCAGACGGAAGAATTGACCTTCTTGGCCACATTCAGAATCGGAAGGTTCGGATTGCGTTTGAAGTAATCCCTCACCTTTCTTGCGCACCACTGGGTCGCCTGGGTTTCCTTGAACGATTTTACCACGCGGGACACGGTCGAATGGTCAATTCCAAACTGTTTCGCGATCCACCTGTGGGACTGGCCTTGATTTTCCACGACCGCTCCCATAATTTTTTGTCGAAGCACTTCTTGCTTGGAAGCCAACTCGATAACCACTTGACAGATTGTAGCGAGATTTTTCATATGTAAACATTACACTCTAAACTAGTTTTACTCAAAATTTCATCAATTTTTACCCATGCAATAAAAAGTTAATAAAAAGTGGGCTGTAGCCCACCTAAATGGAAGTCAAACGTCATTTCTGACAGTGCTGATTCCATTTCTAGGGGCTCATGGATGAACAACTTGGAAAATTGCTCAAATATTTTGATGATAATAAACCATCGGTGTATCCTTCAATCAATTTTCAGTTTGACAGTGTCGGTGTATCCAGTCACAGGGCGCTGATGCACTGGTGAATATCAACAGCCCTAGTCACAGGACCAGCAGAGAAAGTAAGCAAACTGTGCTTTTTATATTTTTCATCTGTCATGCATCTAACCCCAAAATAATCGCATTAAATATTCACGTGTGTAAAACAGTTCTCCGGTTGTCCGTGTTTTTCTACCGATTCCGACGGAGATTCGTGGTGCCACTCTGTTTAGGTCATTCCCTGGTTCCAACAGGTTATGGGCCCAGAGGTGGATCGTGGAAAAACGGATTGTTCTCGCGGGTAGAAGTAAAAGCGTTTTGTTGATCGCGGTGGTGGTGGCGGCGGTGTTCTTTCGTCGTTAGCGTGTGTCGTTCGTCGGGAAGTTTGTTTGGTGGAGCGGAATGGCGGAAGCGGGAATGTTTACCCTTGCCAAGCTCAACAACAACAACTATGCGACGTAGAAGTTCGAAATTGAGATGCTTCTCACGAGAGAAGATCGCTGATTTGTTGTGGATGAGGTGAAACCTGAGCCGGAGACGGACACTTAGCGGAAAGCCGACAGGAAAGCGCGAGCCACAATCGCTCTCTGTGTGGAACCGAGCCAGTACACGCTCATCCGTGATTGTGCTTCTGCTCGTGATGTCGGGGATGCACTTAAAGCATACCATGAGAAGTCGACGACTACTTCCCAGCTATCGCTGTTGGTACGGCTGTGCGATGCAAAGCTCCAGGAAGGCGGAGATGCAGAAAAACATTTGCTCGAAATGGATACGCTGTTTGGACGTCTGCAGAATGTTGGGCTTACTCTGGAAGAGAAGCTGAAGGTTGCCATGGTGCTGCGCAGTATGCCCGAGTCGTATCACTTTCTGGCATCAGCACTGGAGGCACGACCAGATGCTGATATCACCATGCAGCTCGTCAAATCAAAACTCTTGGATGAATTTCACAAGCGGTGCGAGAGGGACGGAAAAGGACCCGGTGGCGAGCAGGTGCTCAAGACGTAGTCAAACTTGACGTGTTTCTTCTGCAAGCAGCCTGGCCACTATAAAAAGGACTGTTGGAAGTGGCAAGCAATGAAGGGGTCACAGGATGAAGCAGGATTTTCCGGAAGCAATAAGCCAAACAACGGTGGTCAAAGGAAGTTCAAAGCGAAGCAAGCTACGAGCGCCGAAAGGGAGCCGGTGAGTTTTCTCGTGCAAGAAGAGAGTTACGTCACTCGTTCACATACGAAGCAAAAACAGTCGTGGACCGTGGATAGCGGTGCGTCATGCCACATGACAAGTAGCGGTAC